ATGGTGTCGTGTGGGCAAAAGAGCATCCGTTTTATTTCGCTCGCTGGTTTTATACCAAGCGTCGTACACACGCCACAAGCTCTATCTACCAAGTCGAAATTTTTTGCTTCGGCAGCAAACATGTCAAAGGTTCAAAACATTTCCCTTGCGTACCGGCCCATTGTGAAACAATAGCATGCGGACTTGTTCCTCCTCGGTTCTTTGATTGATGACCGTAGCGAAGCGATAGTCGTCGGAACGTTCGATCCACACCGGTCACTCCGATATGCTGTCAAAATACAGCTGCGGTGGCTGGTACAGCTCGAACGTTCCCGTCCGCGTCGGTGTATCTCCGCCATGACCGTCTAGTGTGACTAGTATCTCCGTTCCCTGACGACCGCTGGTACTCCCATATCTGGCACCATGTCGTGTGGGCAAAATAACCCGTCTTTCTTTTCCACTCACTGGTTCTATAGATAGCGTCGTACACACGCCTCAAGTTGGGTAGATTGTCATAGTGCGGCCAGCGCACTCTTATCAGGCTGAAACCAAAGATGGAGAAAAACATCTCAGACTTTTCTATGTGGTATCTTTATTCCCTTTACTAACTTTGGTATGTTGATATGCAAAACGAGGTATTGGATATTAAAAGATAAGACCAAATAACAAGTAAAATACGTAAAAAATCGCAAAACAAAGCTTGCAGAATGTTCGATATTTTGAAAAGCGTTGATTGTTTCAAGCAGAACGAGGAAATATATCATAAACTCACGTACTAAAGGTGCTTTAAACGACCATATCTGCGAACAATGTTGACAAGCACGATAAGCATGACAATCATGATTAGCATGGTCAAGTTACCATATCTGCAACATCGATATGGAAAGCTTGTGGGAGTAAAAATTCTACTTAGCACTGAGCTTTGTGCCAAAATTTGGCAATTCTCTGGGAGTTTTGGGGCTTGACAAGCCCGAATTAGCCAAAGTAGAGTAAAATCTAACCTTCTTTGACACAAGTCTTCATATTTTGGCCCCAATTCGCCAAAGAAGTGCGAGAGTTAGCCGTGACTTCCTCTAATCTCGGCTATTATCTGGCTGCTATGGGCCAAGGTCGCCAAACGAGTGCCATAGTCAGGCTTACTGCATGGCAGTTCGGCTCCCGTCTGGCATTTTTGGGCCCAAATCGCCAAACAAGTGCCGACATCAGACTTTATTTCCTGATAATTCAGCTGTCTTCTGGCATTTCTGGGCCAAAATCGCCTAAAAAGTAGTAGCATTAGACTTCCAGTGTGAGCGCTGGGTGGTGATCTTTCGTTTTTTGTCCCACATCATTACGCAAGTCTCAGAGTTACGCTTAAAGGCCCGTTCACACTCTTGCGACCGACTTCGACCGAGAGAGACTTCTTACGACCGGATCCGCTGCAGCGGAGTTGGTCCTAAGAAGTCGCAAGAGGCTTAAAAACCGGTCTCGTCTCTCTCGGTCTAACTCGGTCGCAAGAGTGTGAACGGGCTTTTACTCTCTATTAGCACGACTAAGGATCTGTCATACTTCGACATTGTGTGCAGCGAACTCAGCGTAGAGCATAACGTGCGCCTTTCATTAACCGGCGAGGAGGAACTCGATATCCTTGACCAACCAGTATTTGTATGCGCTGCGTTACGCCGCTCTTTCTACGCTCGACGTCGGAACGTTGACAGCCTTCAGCATCTGTCATCTTGGGACCTCGATTCTCTAACAAATTCCAGAGTTAAATAATCTGGGCATGTCCCGTTGACGAGTGTTATTTTATGTGTGAAGGTAGATGACCGATAAGGCAGTGGTGGTATGCGTGTGGTCTGCACTTATCTAAATACAAAATAAAGTCTAATTCCGATCACAGCATTTGATTTTACTTTGGTTGTAACCTGATTTCTCCAGTCCAGAAGTACACCGAACGCTTTGCAGCAGTTGGACCAAGCAACGGCGTTTCAAAAAACGCAGATTGCGGCGGAATATTGAAGTCGCACGTATGTACACACGAAAATATACGGACGTACCGTGGGACTGGTTCGAGGTTGCCGCTACGGTTGCCATAGAGCGAGTGTTGCGCGAGACTGATGTGCACATGTCTCTTCAACACTTGTCATTATTAGGCGAAGTGTGTCAAAAGTGAGTGGAGCGTTGTGTGTGTCTTAAATTGTTATTGACAACGGTCAAAGCCTAGCGATAACAAAAAGTAAAAGCGACCACGGCTCCGCAGTACCGCGCCGAGAAATGTTTGACCTTTTTTTTTAGATAGAATCATTGCGGCGACGATTTTGTTGACGTTTCTCCTAAAGTATTTGAAGCGATCAACCCGGCACTTATTGCTTTCACAAAAATTCAACGCCCCCCCCCCACCCAAAAAAATAAAAAAGGAAGAAAAAACAACTAAATTTGACACTTGAAGCTTTGGCTCCGAAACACTTGATTTTCCTTTCCTTTGCTTTCAGTTTCAGTCAGTAAAAAATGCAGGGGGAGCTTATCTGCATTGTCCACCTCCCTTTAACCTCGCCTTTTGTTGAGGCTCCCCACCTGCTTGTCTTTCTTCCCGAGGTTGTGAGCATGCGCGAAGGCCGCTTTGACCAAATCAGAGGGGTGGAACGAATCCCGTGACGTCTCTACATAGGACGGGTAGGACAAAAACGCTTGCACAAAAATTCGGCACGTGACTTACTTTGACGCGCTTATATTATCACTTGGGGCGTAGTCTTCGCCATTGACCAAGTTATGGAGAAGGGTAGGGTGCCACGTAGGTACGTCTTCGAAATGCGCTCTTCGGTGTTCTGCAGCTTCTTCTGTGGTCACAGTCATGGTTTTTCATCGTAAACAGCCGGAATACGTTGGTGTCATCTTTTCGCTTATGGCCACTTTTTTGGCCGTAGTCCGTGGAATTGTTTTGCAAGGTTTGTTGGACGCGCTTTGATACGAAACTTCTCTTTGGCGAGAGCAAGACATTTGTTAAATGTGGGCGACCTTCATAATTCTCGACCTTGTGTTTGTGTTGCTTCATGCTGCCCGATTCGGATTAAGCATCCATGACAAATTGCATTGTAACGCTCTTTTTTGTTTTAGTAAGTATACTGCAAGCATGCTTATGATAGTAGGCCTGCTGCCTCTCACTCCCCCATTTATTCGCGTTTGATTTATGAGATTTGCTTTGCATAAAAACTGTATGAAGTATATTTAATCATTTGCTGTCGGTCTTTCAGAAAGTATATCTTTCTGTGTGTAATGATGGTGATCTAAAAAAACTTCCTAGAGCGTTCAAAAACGATTCTGTTTGTTTGTGTGTTATTTGAACGATATTGCGCCAATACTAGACCGGTGGCAAAAAGACGGTACATCAATACGGGCACGACGCTATCAAGCATTACCGTGATCCTTGGGAACGGAGATGGAACAACCTTACCATAATGTTTTGAACAATTAATTAACTCAATTGTGTTCTCGAGTGCGTCAAAGAGTAGTTTTATGGCACACCTGAAAAAATCCAAACTTCGGCAGGTCTCTGTGCCTTCTTGGCACTTTTAATGCATATTCGGCTCTCCAGTGGCCAAAGAGAAAAAAGCCTATCTTTTGCATGCCCCAAATCCCCGAATTAGGACTTACTTTCGCAGTTATGGCTCAAATGTGGCACTTACTTTGTCACTCCTGCAGCGGACCAGAGAAGAGCCGAACTTTGGCGTATTCAGAATCTGAAAATCAGGATTTGCTTTCGCAGTTATAGATCAAGTATGGCACTTTTTATAGCACTCCTGCGCCGAGCCGGTCTAAAGTCAAACTTTGACTTGTACAGAATCTCGGAATCAGGACTTATTTTGGCAGTTAGAACTCAAGAATGACACTTACCTTGGCACTTTTATGGAGAACCGGAGAAAATCCAAACTTTGGCACTTCGGAAACCCCTCCGATTAGCATTTACTTTGGCAGTTACGGCGCAAGTATGGCACTTACTTTAGCACTCCTACGCGGATCGAAAAAAAGTGAAACTTTGGTATGTCCAGAATTCTCAAATTTTCATTTACTTTGGCAGTAATCGCTTGAGTATAAAACTTACATCGGCACTCCTTCGGCTGACTGGAGAAAAGCCAAACTTTGGTATGTAGGGTATCCCCAAATTTGGATTTACTTTGACAGGTATGACTGAACTATAGCTCTTCCATTCTCACCTGTGCGGCGAACCAGGGAAAAGCCAAACTTTTAAACGTCCGGAATCCCGAAAGTAGGATTTACTTTGGCAGTTAAGACTCAAGTGTGCCACTTCCTTTGGCCTTCCTGTGGCGGACCGGAGAAAAGCCAAACCTTGGCACGTCCGTAATCCCCAAATTATGATTTGCTTTGGTATTCATGGCTCAAGTATGGCACTCTTATGACGGACCAGGGAAAAGCGAAATTTTAGCATGCTCTTGGATCGCCTAACTAGGGTTAAAATTAGGCAACTTACAGTGACACTGACAAGCGCCATAAAGCAAAGCCTCACTGGGCCAAAGTTGGGCACTTAGGTTTGCCTTACGTTTTCCCAAGTTTGTGCGTTTTCCTGGCTTACTACCTGAGTATATTGCTGCGTGCGATTAGCTGAGTTTGCAGCGTGCACAGCTCCCACGCCGCTGGCTGAGGTTTGAGCCCCGCCAGCACTTGTCCTTTTTTATCTTTCTTTTGTTTGCATGTCTAGAATGTTCCAGATGGCTCGAGAATCTTGTTGTTTGTTCGAGCTCAGGAACTTCTAGACACCAATGCGCTTCCAAAAAGAACCACTTATGGATGGTTGAGTCAGTGGCCCTTTCTTCGCCGTCAAAGTATGTAAGGTATGTGTTACTTTATGTTTCTCGGCACAAGTCAGCCGCCTTAAACGTTCCTTTTAAGTCTTATTAAATAAGTTTATGTTTTCATTCCTGACATTTTCTTGGAACGCAGTCTATGCCCACAATGCGTACCACCTGTGAACACGATAACTTGAAAGACAACGACTCTGAAGGCGAATTCCCATAAAAGATCATACGATGACTCCAACTGTGACCTCAACGACAACCTCAACTGTGGCCTCAAAAACGACCCGGGTTTTGAACTCGACAAAGGTACTGGCCTACGACCTCGACGATAAAATGATAACTTTGACGACGACGCTGACGATGAAACGGACAACCAATCCAAAGAAAAACCCCGACTACGACGCCAACAACCAGACCGGCTATGGCCTCGACGCCAAGCAGTGTCTTCGACCAAGACGACGAGACTGCCGACGACACTCATGACGATGACACAGGCGACGACTCGAATGACGACATCGACCATCCCGACAACGACGTTGACGGCAAACCTGATAACAACTAGGACGGCGACCCAAGCACGAACCGGACGATGACTTCCACGACCACACCGACTGCAACCTTGACGACGACCATGATGACAAACCGGATGACGATACCGACGACAAGTGTGACGTCGACCAAGAATTAGAACAGCGCGAGGATGTTCGGCTCCTCACTCAACGAGTGGGAGAGTTCGGCCAGCTGGGCCGCAATTAGATTCAAGCGGCACAACTTGCTGATGAGGGCCGGTACAGTCTTTGTCACCACGACGCCCAGTTCCAGCCTGGCTACCAAGTGTAGATCCGAACACCAGTTCATCGTCACAGCGAGGAACCGTTAAAGTGGTGCTTCGGATTCAAGGTTATGCGCTTCCTGAGGAACCTAAAATGCCTGCCGTTACCCGACAGAACATGCGAATTGTCAGGCCGCCCTCTGATGACGCCGTTACCCGACGGAACACGAACATTGTCAGGCCGTCCTCTGCGACCCAAAGGTGATCCGGGAAGTCCGACTCAAAGTAAACTATGCTCGAAAGGACTGTGAAAATCTGTGTTTTATGTGACTGTAATTTGCTCATCTCTTGTTTTGAGTAGTCAATTTCTTTTTGTGTTCCATCTGGACAATGCGTTTTTTTATGAGGTTAGCAATGCCACCTGCCAATATCTGAGTTAGCCGCGTGCTCCGCAGGCTGGCATTTGATCCCTCCTAGGGCTTGACCTTTTATCTTTCTTACGTTTGCATGACTGGAATGTACGAGATGATTAAAACATCGGGTTGTTTGTTAGAGCTCGGAAACTTCACGATACCAACACGCTTACAAAAGGAGTTTCGCACGGCTTCTTGAGTCAGTCGTCCTAGTGTCACCGTCAAAGCATATACGTTTTTTTTTTACTTTATGATTCTCGGCACACGTTCGTCGCATTAAACGTTCATTTCAAGATTTAATAAATAAGTTGATGTTTTTAATCGTTACAACACATTGATGTTGGGTGGTTTCGAAAAAAACATTGATTCATTCGATCAAGTACGGCTCATTTATCTGAATATTTTCGAATATATATATATATATATATATATATATATATATATATATATCACCGTGAAAACAGGAGTACGTAGTACAAAAGCCTGGGAGTATGATTTTTAGGCTGTTAGATTACAATTAAATTAAGTATTGTTAAGGCAGCCAGGGCAATGACCAGCCGAGTCGGTTCATGCGCGGCAAGATGGCGCCCAATGTGGGGCTTTGTGTTGCACGCGCGGGTGTGGTTGTACCGTCTTAGCTTGCTAGGCTTTGGTTTTTCAGGGATTTGGGGCCGGCAGTTGCGGCGCTTTGAAGTGGGGTTTGTTGTTCGCAGCTAGGCTTAGCAGGGTTTGCCGAACCTCTCCCAAAAGTCATCCCCTGGATGTGAACCCGAGTGCCGGGGTCGGGGAACGTTTGTACCCATTTAGCCGGTGGGATATCTTGGGAGTAAGGCGAGAACTATTATTTGACTGTGAATTATAGGATCCCATTTCCGCCAGATGTTGTTTTAGATGCGACCAGCCACAAGGATACATCAGTTTTATTTAGAGGATGCTGTAACCGTAAAAAAAGAGGTTTTCTGTTTAACTGAACATTGGGATGCCAGCACTGATCACATGTATACTTTCTTAGAGCGAAAACTTGCAACATCACAACATGGGGCTGTGCTGCTCTTAACCAAAATTGAATGAATATAATAACGCCAAAAAACTCCCAAAGACGAACGTTTTTTAATGTGGGGTAAACTCGAGGAGCGCAAATATATAAATAGCTCATAATCAATAGCCTCCTATCTTAGGAACATGCAAAAAATAGCTGTTAACACATTATATGCTACAAGGTTTGGCAAAACAAGTCAGGGTTGGCTTCAGATACTGCTGCAAACTGCTATTGCAAGCAGACTTGGCAAGTAATCTGTTATATATCAAACATTGCTTGTAATCCGGTACTTTTTGAAGAAATTTTGTAATTGCCACGTTACTCTCTTTTTGCGCCTGTATTTTATAATGTAAATTCGTTGGAAAATATTCAGGAACAATTACTTGATTACTCGCTTTTTTTAAAGATGAACATAACAGAAAAATCGAGCAATATGGGCCGGCAATTCAACAGCATAAAAATTGCAAGTTCAACAATATAGAAAGGATTATGGAAACGGTAATAACCAAAAATAAAACATGATTTTTTTCACATGTCCGGCCACAAGAACCACTAGAAAAATGTCCAAGGCATATACAAATATGCAAAAAACAAAAGATCAGAAAGATAACAAAGAGCAGGCGTTGTCTTCTCGATCACCTTACAGAGCTAGACGCTGGTACTGGGCAAGCGCACCGCTAGCTATGTCTACAGAATTCCAGGGACCATTTGTGGCCGTCGTAAGCTAGCGGGATGGCGGGCGTGGTCGCAGCTTTCGCTGCCTTGTCAGCTTACAGGTGAACGGACTCCAGCTACACTCTTTCTCTTAAATACAATATTTTATTTTTACAGGGACGAAGATATTGCGGGCATATGAGAAATGGAAATTAGTTTGACAGAACATTTTTGAAAACATCAAGATTGTTTCGATTGTTTTGTTGATAAGCGTGCGGGAGAAGTAAAAGTAATTCGTAACATAATGAGTAAAGCGATTTGTTACTTTTCAGCGAATAAAGTAATTTTAACGTCAGTCCAATACATATTAGGCTCGGTAACTTGTAATTGTAATCTATTACATTTTTAAAAAAACGGTCAAAAATCTGATGGCAAGCCATGGAAGTTACGCTTGGTTTATGAACGGAAGCAGTAATTTTCCCACGCTACACATGGCGATATACTCAAACGCTTTGTTACGTGGTATCAATGAAGGGGCATTATCACGGGTAATGGAAGCGCTCACAACCAGTGTATTGCAGATGCTGTTCTATCATATTTGTGAAAGCAAATGATTGTTTTATGTAATTTCATAACCTTGCACCTTTACCTAAGGAGGCAATTACATAATGGGCTTCCAGTTCAAATCGCGAAAAGAAAAACATGCATTCGTCGAGATTTCTTCATGTATATTTTTAAAATTGATAAACGTGTTTATGCTGAACTTATACGTCTCAAGGTCCTTTGGTCTTCAGGTCATCTGGAGGGGCGTCGATAAATTTTTCTTGTCTATCATCGAATGATTTCTTTGCACACTAAGAAAAACGTACTATGCTCCATCCGCATGCGTAAAAGGACGATTCCTTTAATATGAAAAGTGTAGCACGGCGACAGTTAGAGCCCTACCTGCGCGCCCATTTAAACCGTCCAGCGTAATATTAAAAATGTATATATTTTTTTTTTATCGCGAGCTTCTCTGAACTCTCCACTAACCTCTGTTCTCGCAAGTCTCAAAAGTTTTTTTTTTTTTTTTTATTTTGCTTGAGGATAGCGGCATTAGCAGCGAGCCAGCTATCTAATTTGAATATTTTGCACGCGTCCTTTGTGTACTCGGCTGAGAAGTTATGCGAGTCAAGACGATGTAATCCCACGCTTTGGGCGTTTCAATGTTCGCGAGCGCCATCCACTCTGGATCCGGTCTAATGAGGCGCCAAATAATTAGCGCTGCGCGTGTAAGCGACAGAGCCATTATTTCGGCTTATTTCCTGCTTTACTGTCTCCCCGCGCCACCCCTACCCATTCTCTTCAAACGCTTATCATCGCCTTTTTCCGCCCTTTTTTCGGGACCGTGTTTTTGGTATTCATGAACTCGCGCTAAAAGGCGCGCGAAGGACCGTCTGGGATCAATGTTGTTTGCTCGGTCAAGCGTTCGATCAGCGTAATATGGAAGAAAAAAGACGACAAAAAAGGCTAAAGCAAAAAAAAAAAAGAGATTGTCAAAACTCGGGACAAGAGAATGACGTTACACCCTCCGTATGTCGATGGAATAACGGTCCGCTGCTCTTGCTTTTTATTGCCGTCAGGAGACACGGAAGTCACAAGTAGCAGCATTCGAATGTTGATTTATTGGATAGAGAGTCTTGTTATCTGGTGCTCTTCGTTGATTAATAATGAGCAAACATGGATATAATCGGATTGCTTCGTTAGCCTGTCTAGCTTCACGTCGACAGCCGGTTGAGCGCAGGAGTGCCGCGGTTATTCAAATTTTCGTTTTTTTTCCTTCGCTGTGTTGCTAGGCACTCCAACTATTAGAGTCAGCGAGCGTCTGGTGAAAGGCGAGCCTTTTTTCCGCTATAATTTCACGTTTTTAAAGCAAAAATCAGTGTCTTCTTTAAAGTTCGAGAAACTGAAACTATATATATTCTTCCTGATTAGACCATGGTTCATATTTATACAGAAGTGCGTTCAGAACGTATTGCGAAAAATATAAAAGTAGAATGGCATTGTATAGCAGAAATACGGACCTTCACTAACCAAGTCCTATACTTCGTTTCACCCTAAGTCCAGACGCAACCGACGCTACGAGCTGATGGGACAAATCAGACTGCGTCAAAGGGGCGCCATCGTGGTGTTCGTCATGTTTCTGTGCATGTTCCATCATTGCTGAGCCAATTGTTAACAAAAAGGCCCAGTGACTTGCGCTTTTGACGCTGATAGGTCCATCCTTTTATCTCGTTGTTTCGTCTGCGTCTGGACTTAAGCTGAAATGAATTTTCCGTGGTTTCACAACCGATTCGTTTTTTTTCATCAGGGGAGGCATTTTTCACCTGGAAAGCACCAGCTTTTTTTTCAACTCCGGTGCTGTCGCTTGCTTTACTCACCTGTTCTTGAAGTGCCCTAGCCCTTTGACATACACCGACGGCAAAGTGCCTGTCGACTTATTGATGTTTTTTTTTCGTAGAGTGTATATGCCAGGATTCTGTGAGAAGTCGCTGGCGGATGTTGGTTTCAACGCTCATTATTCCGGTGTAATCAAAATCGATATACTGGTCATTGTCGTCAGAGAGCTCTGCAACAGCACACCGCTCCCGGTCAAATTTTCGCGCATCATTCTCGTGTGGCACAATTTTTTGATGGAGGTTCTTTGTCCCACCGATGCTAGTGGCGCAGCATTCAGAACACGAAATTTGTTGCACAAACCCTTGTGATTTTTCTTTAGGAGTGCTGTCTATGGTTCGTAGCATCAGGCGCCAAAGCGTTGACACCGGCTTGTGGGCCACCCGAATACCTTACTTTGCAAGCGTACGCGGCAAC